CTGGTGGTCTTTTGGCTTCAAGTCTTATATTTAATTTTAATTTGAATGTTCTTTTAACTGGTAAGAGTGGTGTCCAGTTCATTCTTCTGCTTACAACCAAGGCTTTGTTGGCCTGGATGCAATACAGTGGTTGCTAGCTAAGACCTAAGATCCCCATTGAAGAAGTGATAGGTAAGACCTGATCCATCATCCCAGGCTTACCTCATCTCCTGTTGAAGAAATGATAAGTACCAGGCATTAAAGGGTATTGGAAATACCAGATTTCTTTTGTGCATCCAATAAGATGGTCACACAGCTTTCTTTGTCCTTCACACTGTGAGAGGCTGTGTCATGCTCAGGGTTTTGTGTGTGTTGAACCTCTTCTCCCTGGGATGTCTCCCAGTTGGTTGTGATAAATAGTCTTTTTAATGTGCTCCTAGATTCCCTTTACTGGATGTTAGCTGAAGTTTTTTTTTTCTTTTTCTTTTCTTTTTTTTTTTTTTTTTTTTTTGCACCTGTGGTCACCAGGGTATTGGGACAGTGCAAGTCTTGTAAAATGAATTTAGAAAAACTCTTTTCTGTTCAGATTTTGAAATGATTTATGAAGAATTAGTGTTAATTCTTCAGATGTTAGCCAGAGCTCAGCAGTGAGGCTGAGCAGAACATTTCTTAATCATAAACAATAGGGTCTGGAGTTATGACTCAGCAGTTAAGAGCACTGGCTGCTCTTCCAGGGGGCCCAGGCTCAATTCCCAGCCCCAACGTGGCTCTAGTTCCAGGAGACCCACCGCCTTCTTCTGACCTTTGTAGGCACTGCACGTATGTGGTGCACAGACATACATGTAGGGCAGACATTGATACACATAATTAAAAAATAACAACAGTTTTTTAATAGAGGGGAAAAAAGATTACTTTTTAAAAATAAGGCTTAAACTCTATGAATAAATTTCCCTTTTCCTGAGATCTTGATTTGAGGGAAGTTACTGGGGTCTTCTTTACTAATCCTGGAAATACGGAATAAAAGTGAACTCTAAAACTTTGACTTAATAGAAAACTTTCTGCCGTGAATAACTGAACATTTTAATTTAGCTTCCCAAACCAGTATGGCTTTTTTCTGTTAGTCACTGCAGTCACAACAGTAATGCCTACTACCTGAGCCCAATCCACTTTTAGAGCATAAATTGTTTACAGAATTGTATTAATCATCAAACTAGTTCTTAATTAGTTCAGTGTTTCCCTACAACCCTTTTATTGTAAGAGTGGTGTCTGTTCACTTGGGAAGCCCCTGCCGAGAACTCTGTGAAGCAGACTGTGGGAGGCCACCATGTCACCGGCGTTTTATTTCCTGCTCTGTGCATCATTCTTGCTTGGCAGAGATAAAGGCCTCTGACAGCTGCGTGTGTTCTCTGTTGGGCTTAGCTGTACACGCCTGTGACCCCAGCATCTGCGAGAGGCTGAGGTGGAGTCTGACCTGCACCCTGGCTTCTGGTGCATCTCTGTGGAGGAAGAGGTACAAGATGAGTGCCTGTAGGACTCAGTGGGTAAAGACAACTTGTTTCTCAGGCCAGTGTGTCCTGGGGGATAGACCAGATTGGCATTGGAGGAAGGCAGGTGTTCTGGCAGGAGACAGGCACAGGCTTCCTCTCTTACTTATATGACATCCACAGCAAGAAGGGGGTTAGTTTGGGGAGAATGTGGGCATCCAGAGCATCCATAGTAAACCTTTGAAAGTGTTTGAACAGGACACTGATGTAACCTAAGTAATGTGTCAGGAATATCAATCAGTCGTTGGCTTTCAGATCATTTGGCCAAAAATTATAAGGTATACTGGCCATAGAGTTGTTGCTCAAATGGGGCCTTAGGCCTTAGCAGCCACTGTATTCCATCTAGTCTTACAAAGCCTTGATTGTAAGGCACACCTTATTGTACATGCCGGTGAGAAAGGAAAAAACAAAACACTACCATTTAATTTCAAGATACTACCAGTTAGGAAATGTGTCCTGATTTCAAAGATCACAATAATGAAGAAATGAGCATCATCAAGTCAGTGAAATAGATCTTTACACTGGTACAGAGAAAAGCTGAGAAATGCAAGAAAGACTGAGAAAATGAAAAGGAGAGGGCATACAATCAAGGACAAGCGGAGAAGTTGACCTTGAAAAGGAGGATGATTTATGTTTTCTCGGCTGAAAAAAGAAATGAATAATGGCCTAGAGAAGTTTAGCAGTTCAGAAGATGAGAAATCTAGCAAACCAATAACCACGAAGGCAAGGTCATCTGCAGAAAGAGTGACAGTGGTAGCTTTGAGGGCTTGAGACTGCAGAGTGACAAGGCTTCCGAGGAGCAAGGCATGAAAGAATTCTCATCAGAAACAAAGGGACCAGTTCAGATTGCAGAGGAAGGAAACCACTTGACTCTGTTTTGTGGTATTCGGGAACACTTGGTACTTCGAGAAGGATGGGAATAAAAATGGAAGGTACTGCCGGCAGCGTGGGAGATTGGCAGGCAGGAACGCAGAAGAGAAGAACTCAGTGCAGGTTCCTCTCAGACAAGTTTGGCTTGTCGGTCATTCAGGCAAGAAGTAAGGGATGTGGCTAGACGGAGTAGACATTTATTTTTTACTTAGGGGAAGAGAAACAATTACAGATTAGTGATTGCTGAGAAGATAATGAAGTTTGAGGAGCTAGAGATACATAGGAAGTCTGTATGACTGGAGAATTCAGAATGGAAGGTTATGGAGGCAGAATTCAGAGCAGTGTGTTTGAAGATGTGTTCTCTTCCTGTAAAGCACCGGTGGGATTGCATTTCTGCTGGATGAAAACCTCTCAGGCTCTCCACTGATTTCAGCGGATGGCCCTTCATACCCGGAGGACAGAGCAAGGGCATGGCAAGCTTGTTCCCTCTCCCTCTGAAGAAGGGACAGGCACCAGCACTGATCTCATCGCATCGTCCTACGAAGCCCATGATCTTAACACACTTGGTGCCCCAGACTTCTCATGGCCTCATCTGCCATCTCCCCTTGACAGTGCCCGTCCTCAAGACCTAGCTCGGACTTCCCTGTGACATCTTTGCAGACTTCTCCCATGACCATGAGCACACCGAACTGTCCACAAATCCTGTAGCCTTTCACCACAAGTACACTTACTTATATCTCTCTCTCAAGTACATTGTGAGCTCCTTGATGCCAGAAACCAATTCTTTACCCGCAATGCCAAGCACTTTTTAGGTAATTCATAACTACTTGGTGAATTTGGGGTAAGTGAATCAATTGGATGACATTTCAGATGTTAGTATGCCTTCTGGTCACCTGGCTGTCATTGAAGTTTGTTTCTAGCTACCAAGTCTGCTCCAGGTGAAGCTAGGCTGCTGCCATGGCCTAACCAAAAGTTAGTTCAAGTAAACACAGAGGCCAAGACAGCATGGACCCGGAGCAGCTGTGAGCACGGTGGCTTGGAAGACTCTCAGCATGAACACTAGCACTCCAAGGACCATGCAGGAGGAGATGCTTACACCAAGGGAAACAGCAAGCAGAATATGGTCAGAGACAAGAGTGGGAGCATACAGTTGGGGGCTTGGATTTTAGAGATGAGGATGAAGAAGCGAGGCACCAGCTTTTCCTGGACTGAAGTGAGGTGTGCCTTCCATAGAGACCTCGAGGGAGGAGAGGGCAGCAGGGGTCAGGTTGGGGCTCTTAGGAAGAGAGGGGCCTCTGAGGCATGTGGGCCATGACTAGTCTTTCTGCCATTGCTGACTGGCTAATTTTCAGGAAAAGGACGGTCCTGAAGAAATGGTAGGTACTAGAATCCAAGAAGGTCATTGCCTGATTGTCAGTTTCCAGGCTCACGGCATGAAAGTTCTCTTTTTCTTTAAGTTCATCGATGTTAGAAAAAGTAGCACTAATAATAGCATTCTGTTTCCACCTACATTTTCTGAGTCTGCTTAATCTAACAACGGATTTAGCAAGCCTCGTGTTTTAAATACTGTTGGACCAAGGTAATACCTACTTCCTAACATACAAAAATGAACCGTGTTAGTATCCCCCTAAGCCCCTTCTTCAGCAGTGAATGCTCAGTATTCTCACCCTGGTGTGTATTCTCTTTCACCCATGTGAACCGGCACACATGCAGACAGGAATCTTCTAATTCTCCGCATTTTTGCTTGTACATTATTTTGTAGATTACTTTTCTCACTTAGGAATATGCTATAAACATCCATTCAGGTCAGTGGACAGAGTGCTAACTTATTTTCTTCCTAATTATTTTAAAATAGCTGTGTATAAATATAGAAACCCCATAATTTGTTCTGTCATCCCTTGTTCGTGGATAATTGGTTAATTTCCAGTTTTTGCTGCTATTTAAAAAAATGACCAAAAAAGGAAAAGCTGTGTTGATACCAGTGCTTAGTAACGTGACTCTGTGGCTCCGTGACTTCCGTCGTCAGTCATGCACACCAAAATAACTTGTAATGTCCCCCTGCGTGTGTGTGTGTGTGTGTGTGTGTGTGTGTGTACTGTATACTGACCACACCCCTTCCTCCCTCCCCTCCCTGTTCTTAGCTTTCCCCACCCATCATTCCTCTTGCTTCCCCTGATTTCTTCTAAGGTCATGTCATACACACATCCACAATTTTAAATATCTATATAAAATCTGAGAACCACTCATGAGAATGGGCATAATATTAAGTTTCTAAGCCTAGCTTAACATGATCATCACCAGGTGGATTCATTAAAAAAATAACTTTTATCTTAGAGGAATCTTTTAATGAAGCACAGCAGCATGTAGCCACTAGTCACATACAGTAATTTCAGTGAAGTAAAAGGTAAATCTATTCCTTACATCGGCTTTCTTTCAGGTGCGCAGTGGGCACGTAGGTGGGGGTTACCATATTGAACACATTAGAGACCGTTTCCATCTGCCAGAAAGTTCCTGTGGACATCCTGGACTATACCAAGTTACATCTTAAAGAAGACATTTTAATGAGCACATTTTAAAGTAAAGTGTGTCTTTGTGGTTGCCCCACAGTTACTTCAATGAGAATCAATATCCAGATGAAGCAAAGAGAGAAGAGATTGCCAACGCTTGCAATGCAGTCATACAGAAGCCAGGTAAGGAGGTGAGCTCAGAGGGCAGCGCTCAGTTACATTCAGTGGTCTGATCACTCGCCCTCCTAATGCAGGTCCCAGCCCAGTGTTCTCCAAATAACACTTGTGATGTTAATGTGACCTGAGTGAAGTGTGTACACACACACACACACACACACACACACACACACACACACACAAAATGACTCTCCATGAGACTTGAGGCCTTGAAGGTTCTTTTAAATTATGGATTTGTTTTTTCCAAAATTTAGCATAAACTTATCAGTTCTGAAGTAATGATAAAGTGTGAAAATTCAAGCAAGTTTTGTTAATGAAAGTATGTAAATCCATTTTTTCACAGTTGTGTGACCTGTGTGGCTGCATTTATGCTGACTACTCCTGGCCTGCCCCCAGAGAGTAGCACCCAGCCCTAATCCAATTTTTGTGTAGCAGACACCTTTGGTTTCTCTTGTCACCCCATGTGACTCTTGTCTCAGAGTCTCCCAAGGATACAAAGGCCTATGCAAAACTTGGTTCAGGAAACCTGGAAAACTGGTACCAGATGGCTCCAGGAATTTGCACTTGGCGTTGTATTTTTGGGAGCTTCTTCGGATTGTTTTGAACATATAGAAATCAACTGGCTAAACTGTAAACATAGAGAAAAATAAAAATGTCCTAGGCAAGGGAAAGGGATACAGTCCTTAAGAGACTGGATTTCCCTGCAGCAGCTAAAGGCTAAATTCATTCTTATGGTGCCTCTGAGTTTTCTTTCCATGGATCCACGTGAACCCACACACCTGTACCGTGACATTTCATGACAGATCTGTATTCCTTTGTGAGGCAGCTTTTGGGGGTTAGACTGTTTGCTTCCCACATTGGGATGGCTTCTGCCTAGCTAAGGGAACATGGTGGTCCCCTTTGAAGTCTCCCGTGGAGGTCCACAGACACTGGTACTGCCTATGTATCTTATTCCCAGTGTACTTCAGAGCCTTGGCCCAAGCAGCTAGTTTCTGTGTGGCCACTTGTTTTGATGGCTTAAACACTATGTGAATATCAGAGTTTTATACAGTGAGGAGGGTTATTCTCCTTTACTTAGAGTGCCAACTTGTAGTGATATCTACCCTACACACTCAGCTCCACCTCCAGGTGAAGGAGTCTGTACCTTGAGTGCACAGATCTACGGTCCCAGTGCATGGCTTTGCTCCCTCTGGAAAACACATACAGATGGAAACACATACAGATTCAAGGCTGAAAGGAGGAGAGGAGAGGAGGAGACGGTGCTAATGGCTGCTTACAAGTTAGCTTGGGATCTCCGTAAGAATTAACTGTGATGGCCAAGAAGACAATAAATCTGAAATCTGACCTGAGTGGTACTGTGTGACTCAGAACAGTCACAATAGCGGATGGCTACATGGCCATTAGCCTTCAATGCAACATGTATCTCCTATCTTACATAATATATAACGTATCTTAAGATACCAGGAAAACAGATATAAGTCATTTTATCTGTACACTTCCATAAAGAATTACGTCCCTCTCAATGATGACAATTAAATGACACCTCCATGGTACTAAACGGAAACTATGTAAACGGATTTTGTGGATTTTTTAATATTGAGTATGTCTTCCTGAGTTGTGGCTAGCTGTGTATTCATTTATGTGTTTGTTGACGCAGTAATAATTTTAGTGGGTTCTTAGTACTAAGCAATGCTAAAAAAGAAGCCACTCCATCTGTTATTTTGGCAGTAAATAGAACCAAAAGCAACTTTCAGCAGAGACATATTTCTTAAGAACAATTCAGTCTTGGTTGGATCCAAGATACAGATTATCTGAATTTTGTTGCATGCATTCACAGGCAAAAAGCTGTCCGACCTGGAACGAGTTACCTCGCTGAAAGTTTATAATTGGTTCGCTAATAGACGGAAGGAGATCAAGAGGAGAGCGAATATCGGTAATGTATCAGAGAGACTGCCTTCTCTCATGAGAAGTTTAGAAATGGGTAAGAGTGGCCAGTGGATGAGCTGCTGCAGGTCTGAGCATCGTACCACTTAGGTCTGACGAGAAGCACCAGGGCTTCTCTTCTTTGCCTTTTTAATCCCAAGGTCAGTGTTACCTGCACTATTTTATCTGTATCTTAATAATGTCTTTGTTATTTATAAAGCTGATTGTTGTTAATGTTCCAGATTGTAGAATTAACCCCTGAGCAATGGGTTACTCATGTGGCTTATATTAAGGATTTCTATGGGGGTCTTAAGAGAGGAATTAGGATGTGCCCGTCCTGCTGGTTACTGCTGCAGCTATGACCTGGACGCTGAGAAACATCCATCAGTAGCTGGGACGCAAGAGAGTCAGCAGACGGGAAGCAAGAGCGGCAGTAAGGGCACTTCAGACTCGGACGTTGGATTTTGTCAGTTCCCAGTGTATGCTTCTTGCTGCACACTGAGCTGTATACTCTAAACAGTTGCCACTGCCGACCAGATCTTAATAAAGCTGGAGGGTGGGAGACCATGTGAAAATGTGTGTTCAACTAAAAAAAGAAAAAAAAGACAGGATTGCTGTCCTATTCAAAGCTGGTGAGAGTGAGATTTGAGTGGACGAGGGAGGAGTAGAGGGTTCGTTTAAACTTCTGAAGTTGTGTTTCAGGGCTGGAGTAGCACAGTGACAGACGAGACCTGGCTCTGGTACCCAGCACCACAAGAAGTACACAGTTGCGTTTCATTTGTGAATAGACTTCTTACTGGTCACCCCAGTTCTCGTTTGCTTTGTACAGCTCCACCAGGACAGCTGTTGACTTAGTAAGTGTTGTGAAGTGCCCAGCAGTCCAGGTTGGCAGTTGAATGTGTATGGAGGCCAGGCCTCTACCCTGGGCTACACAGAGTTAAATTTCTCCCATTCACAGCTCATTAGAAACAGATTAACCATGTTCTGACTTCCTCACCATCAAAGTCATGGTTCAGCCACAGTGATGAGGCAGCAGATAATTTAGGGATCTATTTGCTTTTTTCGAAGAAGCAGCAATCCTGGAGAGTCATGGGATAGATGTACAGAGTCCAGGAGGCCATTCCAACAGTGATGACGTGGATGGGAACGACTACTCCGAGCAGGTGGGTGGCTGAGCTGAGGCTTCTGGTTACAGAGTGGTGGGGCACATGGCCACTCAAGTCCGTGGGTGTGGTCGTATGGGGGGGGGGCGGTCAGTGTCCCTCCACTCTGCTCCTGTGTCTAGTCAGATGTTCATGTGGTAAGATTCTGTTGTCCTGTTAAATCTGTGAGTAATCTCTATCCACCCCTGTGGGTTTATTGTCACACAACAGGACACTTGGCAAGCACGCAATGGGGAGGAGGAGGAGGGAAGAAGTTCAGAGGGAGGCAGAGAAGCAGAGAAGGTAGAAGAAGAGAGGAGGATCTGACCCAAACAAGCAAGTTAACCACTTACCACACACACAGTGTTTGAGAAGCACTTAGGGGCACGCGGGCAGCGGTGATGGTGCCTACATATGGACCATGCGGGACACAGCAGAAGGCCCCGCCCACTCCAGCCCCATCACAGTGGGACCCTCATGCCCAGAGGAATGGTTAACCAGAGTCTCTCTGGACATTGGCACACTCCTCCTGTCATAAACGCAATCCCTGCACGTCTTCTCATCTCATCCTGGTGTGCTCTGCATTGCTTGGGGAAAGTGTATTTAAATGTGGCCACTGCATGGAATAAGTCAATGACTACAGTTGGGGAGGTCCCCCACCCACAAACATGGTGACAGACTTCATTAAGATTTCTATAGGCTCTAAGTGTCATTTCCACTTGGGAAATTCAAAGAACACACGGCCCCTTCCCTAGACCCTGGCAAGGAAGCACTGCTCTTCCTTCTGGTGGTTTCCTGGTCCCTCCGTCTGCCGTGCTCTTCATCCTCTCTGTGTTTCATTACTTCTGTGTACCCCAGTACTCCAGACTGGCATTTGATTCTCTGCAGATCCCTTCTTCAATCCTAAAGGCTGGTGTCTAAAAGCCAGAATGAAACAGTAGCACCCATGTGTCCCAGAAGATTATCTCCCCACAAGAGTTGGTTCTCCAAGCACAGCTCCAGCTTTGGCTCAGGAGATTGCTCTTTCCTTCCTTGTCGGAAACGCTCCTGTTATTTTTCAGCTGACCCACATAGATGGATCATTTCCATCTTTTTTTGCAGATGCCCTGAGGGCAGCACATCCTATGCTTTTTCCCCCAAGGGACTTCCCCTTTCCAAAGCTCTTTGCTACAGAGTCCCCTGAAGATGTGACAGGTGAGACACGCCCCTTCTCTCCGATAGCACCTTCAGTGCCCAGCACACACCCTGTAAGGACAGCTTCCTTCACAGCCTCGTTCCTCTGGTGTCTGTCGGGGTTTGGTTTGGTTTGGTTTGATTTGGTTTGGTTTTGGAACTTGCAGTCAGTCTCCTGCCTCAGCCTGGGAGTGCTGGGGTTACAGACATGTACCACTAAGCCTGCAGCAGCTTTACTGTTTACTATGTGGAGCTTAGAGGGCGGAGAGCTTCACTTGGCTCTCAGGGGGATCCTGCACTTGTGGTTGTGTAACTGAGGACCCCTCCCTGACTTGTAAGGTGTAGGGGCCTGGACTTCTCAGTTTTCTTTACTGTTCTCAGCAGGGCACCCCACGGATTCCAGTAGCCACTCGATAGCTTTGTGGATTTAGGAGTGTGCTAGTTTGGGCTCAGTGATTACTGTTGTGTCTGTGGCAAAAGAAGAACCCAGATTCCTAGTTTATTTTCATCACTTCAGGTTTGATCACCACTAGCAATTTTTTGGTAGAATAAATAAATTCTCAGTGAAAATAAGAACAAAACAAATCATTTTTGTCCTTTTTACTTGTTGAGTCACAAAAACATTGAAAGTCTTTGGACCCATGTCCATTCAGTGTCTACTTAAATACAGTTCACTCCACCATGAGATGCACTGGGCAGTTTCCTCCACAGATGCTCTGTCCCCTGCACGGCACCCCTGCATGCCTTCTTGTGAGCTTGAGAACTGTTCCGGGCCAGCGAATAACACTCCTTTCTTATTTCTGCACGTCTAGGATGACAGCACGAGCCATAGTGACCACCAGGACCCCATCTCACTAGCTGTGGAGATGGCAGCCGTCAACCACACTATCTTGGCATTGGCCCGGCAGGGAGCCAATGAGATCAAGACAGAGGCCCTGGATGATGACTGATGAGGGAGGATCACACAGTTAACTTAGTTTAGACGTAGCACCTTAGCAGACTTTCCTCGGTCCTTAACATGTGTTCTTACAGTATAACTTACAGTTTCTTGTATGTCAGGTAGCCGTTAGGGTCTTGTTCTGTGAAGATGGCATGGTGCCCTCAGCCTTTGCATATACTCTCTCAGTATTAAAATCCCAGTAAGTAATAACCAACCAACCAAACGTTCCTCTCCCAGCCCCTGAGGCTAAACAATCTCGCTGCTCCGTCTTAGCATTCCAAGAAAGTGCTTCCAGGTATTTAGATAACCCTCAGTTCTCGAATACTAGGCTCTGTGTAAAATCTTGGGTACCTTTAGATTCATGTACCACTAGGCTGTACCCCGTTCCTGCCCCAAGACTGACAGGATGCAAGCTGAGGTAGTGGCACAGGACCGACAGACACCATCCGGGAAGTATCCACCATGGAGAGCAAGGAGCACTAGAGCCCCGCCTCAGCCGGAGATTGGTTGATTCAGCTGCAATAAGCCGTGCCTCCTAGTCACAGCGTGGCTAGACTATACTTCTTTGGGTGCTGTGCTAAGAATGCCATTGGAATCCCGAGCTCAGTTCTTGGTTAATGTTAACATGCCCAACACAGACATCCTTTCCTCTTACAAGCTGTGTGACTTAGTAGATAACATACTGCCTTCTGCCTTTGGGACCACGATCCTAAAACAAAAATGACAAAAAAAAACCCCAAGTTCTGAAAAGCAAAACCCCAGCTTGAGAGCAGTAGGGGAGAGTATGAGCTGAATGTCGGATGGATGCTAAGCCCACTTCTCAGAGCCTCTATACATTCCACACTCGGTACCAGCGCCTGCCTGGGAAAGTGCTGGAGATAACATGGAAGTCGCTTTGCCTCCTCTGGGTGCCCCTTCCCTGCTGCCCTAAGAGTCTCTAAGGATAGAGCCGAGATCAAAAGTGAGTGAAAGAGCAGGCTTTGAACCCATCACCTGAAGCCTGCCCAGAGTTCCAGCTAGGACTCTGTCGGGATTGTCACAGATGCAGATCCTTGCCTAGCCAGGGGCAGAAAAAGCAGGGGACATTCACCACTTGTATCGTGAGTGTGGGGGACACAGCAGGACGTGTCTGCTTTGTTCCCTTGACTCTGTCCTTGTGGAGGTGTGAAAGCTATATTGCTACAGGCAATTTATTTAATAATTGGAAGCCATATTGATAATGGATGTGGTAATATTTGTAGTTTAATCTACTTTAAGCGGCAGTAACTAATGGAAATTTTTTCCTTGATCACATATGTAGCACTTTTGTTACTTTTTAAAGATATTTATATTTGATAAATCTTTTTTTCATTTTGAGAACTCAAAATACCAAACCGTGAACTTGCGTTATAAAGTCACCCTGTGATCACCTTGTCATCTAGTAGCAAAATGATGAACTATTCATGCATCAAAGAAAATTACATCTGCTGGCCTTGTATGAAAATGATCCTGGCAACCTGATTAAATGGCACACTGTCACTGTGGGTAAGAAGCAGCAGCAGCCGTCAGTGTGGGGTGCGGTGTGTGTCTGAGAGAGGCTCCGTGTTTTCTGCCTCATCCCATCTCTCCTCCGTGGGTCTGATGGAGCCTTGTTTGGAGGACAGTGTGGAATGGGCCGTTAAGCAGGGCTTCCGTCTCTTTGTCCATTACCTGAACCAGTTTCTAAGATAGAGAGTAGGTACCGTCTCTTTAACCTCCTCCTCCCTCAGCAAATGTGTTGAACTTCAAAGCTGTTGAGGGAGGAGGGCACACGACCCTCTTCTCCCCTTCTGGCTGGCCGGATACTCGGGAGCCACAGCATGTAGCTGGTCTTACTGGGGCACACTCTGACTGCATTATCCCTTTAGGCTTGGTGAGTCTTGGTTACTCCAATGTGAGGAGTCGTCCTTGAGGGCCCTGAGGATGCTACCCCACCTACGTCTGTGACTTTGAAGAGCTCTAGGCAGGGCCTGGTCCTGCTCCTGTCCATGGATTTCCGGGGGAAATGTACGTTCTTCCCAGCTCCAAAAGCTGAAGTAACATGGAGCCATCTTCTCTTACTGTAGTACTTGAACCCACAGATTTAAGAGTAGCAGTTCTTATTCTCAGGAACCCCCACACCTACTTAGAACCTTCCATGGTTTATTTGATTTTTTTTTTTTATTTCACTTAGGAGATTGCATTGTCTTTCTTTCCTTTTGTTTACTAAGAAGAAATATACCTATTGTGTCTTTCCTCCTTGGTCGAGTTTTGTCTGCTTCTTCTCAGTTGGATCAGAAAGAACGGGATGGGGGGACCATATTTTTCTGACAAGCCACATCCATGAGTGACCAGGAGGTGATTATGATTGACAGCTTCTTTCTGGCGCCGTCCTCTCGTTATTTGTTCTTGGTTGCCGTTTTAAAGGAACAGACCCCAGCCGCTAAGACAGCTCCAGTTTCTAAGGGAACTCTGACTGCATCAGAAAAGCAAAATGTTCTGTTGTCCGAAGACCTTTGAGAGAGAGAAATGCAGCAGAGGCTACCGAGCCCCGGCTGGTGCAGGCAGTGCCAGTCTGTGTGGTAGTGTGGTGGCACCAGAAGAGCGTAGTTGCCGGAGGCCGGCTCTACTGAGCTAGCTAGAGGGCCTTGCTAGTCCTTCTGCTGGAGAAGCTGCCGCACGGCCACCGACTCAGGGCCTTACGAGGAAGCTGTGCTATCTGGCCCACAGTACGGATTTGCTTCTTTGGGATCGAGGTTCAAATCTACCACCAGGTCGTTTTCGGGGGTCACCAGGTCAGATTCTCCTTTTGTGTCTAGGTGTCCTTTTGAGCTCTTGGGATAGCCACAGAGCTGCACGGTCATTCTCCTTCCTGTGGACGGTCAATCTTTGCTTGAGCTTTTCCAGCTTTTAGGTGAAATCAGAAACTCCCGCTCCCCATGCTGAGAGGAAAAGAGCTGGGCTAGACTCGTCCTGTGTTGTCCTTGCATGCCTGTCTGTCTCTGCTCTCACCTCCAGTACCTCCCGCCGCCCTGGAGATCTCTTTCAGGAATTGTGCCTTCCTGACCGACAAGACGCTGAAAGGGGCGAGGGAGGGGCACAGCCACCATAGTGTGTGCTCTGAGTGTTTGTTCAAGTGCTTGGAGTTACTGTTGCCGGATAGGAAGGTAACTTCCCATCTTCTAATACCTTACGTGCATGCGACCTCTTAACAAAGGCCTGTCTTAAGATATCCCTGCCTAGCTGAAGACAGTCACAGCCAGCAGCAGAGGATGGCCAGGAAGGGCAGTACAGTGCTTTCCTGTGTGTGACTCCGCAGTGCCCTCAGAACCCAGGAAACACTTGAGTTCACAGCAGCCAAGTTTGTGTGGAATACCGTATGAGGCAGCTGCAGGAGCGGGGGCCTGGGATGGGGAGGCAGACGGCCCTCGGTTCCTTTCACTCCAGCCCGGTAGGTGATCTTACAAAGACAGCTCTGGTTCCTGGGAGGTTCATCATTCCGCTACACCTATTTTTTCAGTATATTTTTACCTCATAGGGATAGCACACGGAGAGTTCTGATGCAGTCGTCTCAGCTCTCTCCTTTAGGAAGTCTTCTTGAATACCAGTCGTCAGGCACTAGCGATAGCAGACCCTAGTCCATCAGGATGCTCCCATCACTTCCCATCTCTCATCTGAAGGGCCCCCCTTCCATTTTCTATTTCAGCACTGCATCTCTGTCTTGAGCTGACTTCACGGATGTTTTCTCTCTTCTGACCACAAGCTTAATGGGTAGCATTTAGTCTGCCTCGGAATTTGGACCTCCTTCCTGTTTTGGGCAGCCAGAACTCCATCTGCCACGCCTGTTGCCTTTGTCTGCACACTGAGAATGATCCCCTTTCCACGGTGACTTCTCTAGCCTGTTCTAAAAGTGTTCCCTTCGAGTCCTTATTCTCCCTGGCCCCAGAAAGGATTTGGTTAGAAGCAGCTTCAGCCCCACCCCCACCCCCTTTGTTTGTTTGTGAGACAGGTGTTCTCTGTGTAGTCCTGGCTGTCCCGGAACTCACTCTGTAGACTAGGCTGGCCTCGAACTCAGAGATCCCCCTGCCTCTGCCTCCTGAGTGCTGGGATCAAAGACAACATTCCCATTTTAACTCAGCTCTGCTGTTAAAAGCCAGAGAACAGGCTGGATTTTTCCCGTGAGCCTCACCAGGTTCTTAGGCAATAACTTTTCTTGTGGTTGGTGGTCTTGGGCTCAGTGGCTCTCTGCCTCCTGCAGGGCATCAGTCTCTGGTCATCTCTGTGATGTCATCTGTTGCTGTGATTATCAGCTCTGTTTCACTACTGTATTCATTGAGGCTGCACTGAGACCAGCCAAATCCACTTACAGCTTTCCTGAGCCAAACTTAGTTTTTAAGATTTCCCAAGTGAAGGTTGGGCACATTGACCAGTAATGCTGTGCGTATGTTTGAGTGGGAGTTGGGTGGGGGTGCAATGGGACAGGGGTAGGAATTACAGCATTCCTTTGGGGTGTGTGTGTGTGTGTGTGTGTGTGTGTGTGTGTGTGTGTGTGTGCATGCACGCATGCATGCTTTGTGTGTGTGCCAGCATGCTTACTCAGGATTGGGCCACTAGTTGTCATCCATACTGAATTTAGCAAACTGAGCTATAGCTCTGAAGACCCTTTACCACTGTCTCCATAGCGTGCGTTATGACTGTAACAGTGAGCACCCAGACAACAGGAGACTTTCCAAGGAGGCAGCCATGGATGGCCAGCCGCTTTCTAAGGCTGGCATGGTAGCATGTGCTCAGAACAGGTACTGCATAGTCTCCTTCATCACACACCCTCCATTTCAGAGATGACCATCCCTTGAGAAGATTGATTTCCTTATTGCGCTAGAGAACTGACATACGAAGGCAGTCGGGGAGGCTTAGGGGGCCGTCACATCATCAGACCCGTGTTCTGGTTTTAAAAGCTCCTCTCTTACCCAGTGTGTGCCGTCTGTTTCTAAACTGTGCCTCGTGCCAGCATACAGGACTGACAGGCGCTCAGAAGTGAAGCCTTGTGCCTATGTGTGGACTGAGAAGCTGGGAGTTTGAAGACTGAAAGGTTTCTGTAGCTGTTTCATTACTGTCTTGAGGGTGGGGATAAGAAAACAAATCAGGAAAAAGTCAGCTAAGAGCCAGAGCCACCTAGACCTCCCCAGCACTGGTTTTCTCCTGTAACCAATGTCCCTGTCATCTCGTCACCAAGGTGTTTGCCTTGGGATTCCAGATGTCCCCAGGCTGCCTTGTCATTCTTGCCCTCCAGTCAGAACTAAATCTAGTTGGTTCCATTCAGATGAGATGTGAGGAGCCGCCTTCCACGGGTGGGGTTCCCTCCCGCGCTCACCCCACCCTTTACCTCCAGCCCTTGCTGGGCAGCACGGGAACTTGGCTGCCATCCTTGGCTGCCAAGCCCTTTCAGTCTCCAGCGTTCAGGCTGTACAGCTCCACGCACTGTTGTTGAGGAACTTGGTGCCCCACTTAGAACACCCAAGAGGCCAGCTCCCCTGACTCCATGTCCATCTTCTCTCTTTAAATAAGACTGGCTCCATACAGCCATAATTAACTCGCAAATTCATGATGGTGTACTGTGATCAAATGAAGGTTTGGCTGAATCTTTTTTCAAATTGTAACCATGGTAATTGAGGGGGGTGGCATAGAATGAATATATAAAAGTATAATGGCAATTGTTCCGAATGACTGAGTGTCCTCCTGACATGTAATTAGCTGTTTTAGCAGGATGTAGATTGGCATGGTCATAATTAAGAGGATTTCTGTCCTTTATGTGGTTGAGAATAGCAGGGCACCCATCCTTGTTCCCTTTGAGCACCAATGCTCCCAAGAACATTTGGAACAGCAGTTCAGTAAACCAAATAATGACATAGGATTCATGTCCCACCCAAGTGAGAGAGGACGGGGAAGCAGTTCAGGTCCAGAGTGGATTGCTTATTGCCTGCCGCTGACTTGTAAATTCTGTGAAACCTCTGTCCAGTTTCAACCTATGCTACTTGGGGCAGAAACTAGGCAGCAAACTGAGCCTCCCTGTCCCCATCCTCTCACTGGAGGCTGGAACACCTCCCCTGGGGACACCTACTGCTTTACGGGGCTTCCAGGATATTTAGGCTCTTCCTTGGGAACGTGATTATTTCTAGAACAGACGACAAGACCCAGGTACAAGTCGACCTCACACAGAATGTGTGGACTCGAGCCTCAGGAGCAGGAAGCTGTGTCTGCACACCCCGACTTGCGCACAGCAAGCTTGTTCTGCTATTGCATGCCTCGTGCTATTCTGCTGTCAGTCCTGGGTTCTTGGCTCTTCGGAAGCCATGTTCTCCCCCCTCCTTGTTTTTCTTTGTGCACCTGTGCCTTCAGGCAGGCAGCATGTAATCCTCACAGCCTGCGGTGTCCTCAGGACTAGAGCTGCAGGCACCAGCTAGTCCTCCAGTTGATGCTTAGTCTGGCCTTTTTTTTTTTTTTTTTCCTTTCTTTCTAGTCATCCTTTGCAGGAGCCTTGATTCAATTAGAGGATCAGAAGGGTCCACAGGAATGCCAGCAGCTACCAGTGCTAAGTGGCCTTTTCTAAGCTCTCTCCTGCCCGTGAGGCTCACGACTCAGGTGAGGTTAGCTGGAGTCCATGAGCCCTGTCCTTTCTCAGGCTGGACACTGCGGGTGTGGTTAGTAGCCGTGTGTGTCTTCGCCCTTTCTACTGAATGTGCCCCCTCTCACCCAGAACACTACTCAACCAAGATGCTGGTTTTAGCTTTGTCCTGTGGAATGAATGGCTGGGGTCGAGCACTCGCCTAGAAGGGTCTAGAGAGCCCTCTTCCCTCAGCACACAGACGCACAGAGGTGAGGAGAAGATTCTGTTCCTGGAGATGCTCCGATGTGATCCCTCCCACATACCTTCAGTGACGTGCACACAGGACGGTGGTCCCTTCCCCTGCCTGCAGGTCAGAGGTGTGATCCTTGCTGAGGACTGGATTTTTAGCCCTCTCTCACTTTCCAGCTGCTCAGCGGTAGCTGTCTCCGGTAGTTTCAGTTCGCTGCCTTCCGATTCGATTCTGAAGTCACTAGTTGAGCTCATTTTGTGATTTGTGTGATACACACTGCACAGCAGCAGAACAGTGCGATTACCTGTGAGCATTTGGACAGACAGGATTGGTGATCAACCAGAAGCCCTAATGTGATCTGCCTGGGTGCTCCAGGGGGCCACTCTGATTAAAAACACCCTATCCATGGTAAATATTCCTGTATTCCCACAGATACCCCCACCTCAAAACACAAAACTGGCTTCATCGTCAAGGACAGTGTAGGTAGTATTTGCCTCAGAAGAGCTTTTTTCTTTTTCTTTTTTAAACTAATCCCAGAAATGATGATTGTGAGAGTCAGAAGATAGTGTGGCATTGGGGGAATGTGTCATCTCGTTCTGCTGAGGTCACTGCCAACCTGCTTGCTCTTCTCCGGCAGCACTGGGTCACCCCAGGGCCACAGGCACTTGTCGTCTTCTCTGCAGCTGAATTTTCAAGCACTGCCTCGGCTGTGGGGTGCTAGACCCCAGCCCTCCCTACCCGGCAGTGACCGCCATGAGCCTGTTCTTTTCAGTTCTCGCGGCACTTAACTCCTGGGACTTTGAGGGCTTGTGCTGGAGTTCCCGAGGGTTTGGTGAACCCTGCCCGCCATCCCTCTACCACAATCAGAAAGGAACGTGAGGGCATTGTGGAGTCCAAGGTTCTGGTGTTCTGGTATTAGTGCCACCCTGCTGTGGCCTTGGCCCCTCAACACTGACCAGCCCATAAGTAGATACCTAAAGACACCCAAATTTAGGCCTAGAATAAGAACTTCTTAATATCCAGAATCCAGGAAGAGAACAAGCTGCCTCCTGGTCCTGTGGACGCCGAGTGACTATTGGTCAGGCACTGGTGACCTGCTGGGCTCCTCCTCACCTTCCTTTCTAACTTTCTCACTAAATCAGGTTCTCCAAGAGTTACCTGGGTCACTGTCCTCTTCTGATCTCTTGTCACATCCTGGGTAGCCTTACAGCCCAAGAGAATGAAAAGCACCGAGAAACAAAGTTGAAGGACCCAGCAGGCCAGCTCTTGGGGCTGCTGACACCTTGTTAGACTAGCTGGCCAGTGGGGTCTTAACATTGTCCTCATTCTGCCCCCAAACCTTGAGCTGGAGAGAAAGAGTATGTGTGCCTTTCATTTTGGTATGATCAAGATTTTGCATCTCTGTTGGTGGCCAAAGGTGCCATGGAAATTGTGGAGTAAAGTCAGTGCCTGTCGCCTGCCCGGGGCTCGAGACAGGCAGGTCCCAGGACTTGTGTTTGAAGATTTGTTGCTCCTCCAGGATTTAGCTTCCCAGCACTTCCAGGTCGAATCTCTCCCCAGTCTTGTTTTGTACCTTCCTGAGCCCAGAAACCCCTCCCATTTTGCTTTACTGGAACTAACCTGTGAGGCTGTCTGTCCACTCCATGGCTTGCTGAGGATGTGACATTAGAAACCAAATGGCATTAGAGTTGTATGAACGCAAACAGCAGCCGTTGTCCAGATGCTTCCTGGGCCCTGTCTGCAGGCGGGGAGGTGCCTGTGTGAGTTGTGTGTGCCGAGTGGCGGTGAGTGCTCATGGCTGCTTTCAGAAAGCAATCCCTTTCTCGTTTGCCTTGATGCCTACGTTGACTGTACTGAAATCTGTGGGGACCTCATCACGCATCTCTGAAAATGGGCACCAGAAGAAAACCAAAGTTCTCGGGGTGGGTGGAGCTTTTTCTTTCCAAGCACTGGCCATTCTGGCAAGCTTTCTCCTTCCTGCTCTTTGGTTCTACCACAACACCACTATGAAAGCTCCCTTCTTCTCTTAGTGGTTCTCACAAGGACCCTGAACAGTGTGCCAGGGCAGCCTGCAGCTCATCAGGCGCAGATCAGGGACCCCAGTGGCCAGACTGGCCCCTGAGCCACCACATCACTTCACTGGCTGAAGGTGGGACACACTCTGCTGGAAGGTGCCCTGGAGAGTGTGGCAGTTGCCTCCCCTGGAAGGAAGAGCCTACAGGCTTCTCTGAGGTCCTGGGCTCAACCTCCCCTCCATGGCCATGGTTCCGTTGAGTCTGCAGTACCTCCAGGATCAAATTCTCATTTATGTTTTAAGTGCCTAAGCAAGTTACAAACCTCTGGGACCTGCCCGAGAGTTGGCCTGTGCCCTGGCCTTCCCACCATGCACCCAGCCTCAGGGTGGGTGTTGTGCGCCCCCACCCACCCAGTGCCCCGCCATTCTGCAGGCAGAATGGTCACAAGGGCAAGCAAGGGGAGAGGGCTGGCCTTGTCACTGTTCGCTGTGTCCCTTCTGTTGATGTGACTGTGGTCTTGGACCATAGGAGTTTGAAGGAGTCTACTTAGCTACTGAGTGAAGCGGGACAGACGGCCTCTGAGCAGAATTCTGCCTGTCAGCACTCGGAGAACATTTCTAGCTCTAAGAGGGCTGGCAGCAGGGGTCATAGCTGATAAACCTGTGCCCCTTTGCCACCATGAGTACTGGAGCCCTGGCCACATCTCCAGCCCAGATACCAGGGAGCCAGGAACCACGCGTCATCATCGGTAGACTTGTAAAAAGACCCGGTGTGCGTTTTAAAAAGGAGTTGTTTTGTTTGGAGAATAATTGAAGTCTGAACTAGATCCAGGCCTTTCTTTACGTGGGGTATAGGACAGATGAGTGGGAAAGGAACAATCCATAGACAGGCACCTTATTTTCATGAATAACCCGGGATTTCTTTTGTTCCGACTATGGAGTAGTGCAAACACTGGGCATTCGCATAGAACAGGCCTGGACGACCTTACCTGTGAGCCGCCTCACCTAGAGAGGGAAGGCTGTGGGGAAGCGGACCATGTGGTGAGGAAGGTGGGGCTGGGTGGCGCATGCCAGCCATGCTGCCCCTGAGGAGTGCCGTTCCCCTCCTCTAGATGGCGCGCTCATGGTCTACCAAGCACCTGCCAGGCCCGCCCGGTGTAACTGAGGAATGTCCGCCAGATGCGTGATTGGGGGAGGACAGCGTGATTGGAGTCAGAGCATCCAGAGGGCCAGGGTTCTGGGCTCTGACTGGACTTGAACATTCTAGCGAGAGCCCAATGCTAAGGAGTGAGAGCCACTCCTGCTGAGCGCAGCTTGTGTAGTTCACTGGGCTGGGAACAAGCTGGCATGGCCAGCTGGGAAGTGGAAAGCAGGCTCCCGTGTTCTGACCGGACACCAGGGACCAGATGTCTTGAGGTTGCCTGCAGGTATTCATCGCGATGGCTGTGTAGGATCCTGCCAGATGAGTGGGGGCGGGGGGCAGAGCGCCCTCCTGGCCTGGCCGTTGTGTGTCTTAGTCTCTGTGTTTCCCTTTGGTGTCTCCTCTGGTCTCTGTCCCCATCTTGTGTGCCATGTATCCCTGAGGGTGTCACACCTGTGTCTGCGTCTGCTGTCAGGTGTCCAGTCTACCTCAAGGGGTCATCATGGCAAGCTCTGTCCACATGGAATCCTCCTTACATGCCACACACACTGGAATGTATCCCGTCCCATCCCCATAACCTCCTGACCCCATCTTCCCCGTAATCACCACAGACTCCTAGTGCAAATTGGATGCTGCTTTAAATGTGAAAAAATTGTTCAAAAGCTATAAAATCTGAATGAAAGCTAAAGCTGAATTTATAAGCCTTGTTGCATATGAGCCAAAAGTGCAAAAAGCTCTATATAATGAACCTGCCACTCGTATAAATATAAATATATATAAATATATTAAAACCAGACTGTTCTACAAATTGTGTATTTGTATTTTTGTGTACGTACAATTTTTCTGCTAAGCAGAAGGAGGGTGTAGTATAGGGCGCTGTGAGAAGAGATTCAGTTAATCCCACTTCTTTGTTACTTATTTTTGTTAACATCAGATGCCTGTCTTCGTCTTCTCTGTGTAACACTGTTTGGAAAGCTGCAGTATCCTTCTTCCTTAGGCCAGTCTGTGATGATAAAGCTGGGCTCAGAGGGGGTCTCGGCCACCCAACAGAGGGGAGCAGGGCTTAACTCCCACCGTGCCCCTCAGGGTGGCTTGCACCCTGAGACCAGGCATGGCTTTCTGACTTGTGTCTGGGAAACAAACTCCCCTTCTAGAAA